TATTTATGTTTCATTTTTTTAAAACTTTATATTTTTATTAATTGATTAAATACTTCTACTTAGGGGTGTAAGAATTGAGCCCGAACCCGATAAACTCGTCTTACCCGACCCGAAAATATAGGGTTATATATATATATAATCATATTCAAATAGGCCCAACCCGCAATGTGCTAGTTGGGCCGCGGGGCAGGCAGTATTTAACCCGATTTGCCTGACCCGATAGTTTTTGAATGAATACCTGTAAGTTTGTAACCCTAGTTTCCCAAATCCTCACCTCCTCCTAATTCACTTCACGCATCCCTCTGTCCCTCAGTCAGACTGCCCTTCGCTCGCCTCCGCCTCGATATCGCCTCTGCCTCACCCTCCGTCTCGCACTCTCGCCTCCCCCTCACCCTCAGTCTCGCACTCTCGATCTCGCCTCCCTCACCCTCAGTCTCACGCTCTTTCGATCTCGCCTCCCTCTGTCCCTCAGTCTCAATCTTGCCTCTGCCTCACCCTTAGTCTCGCACTCTCACCTGTCGCCTCCCCCTCACCCTCAGTCTCACCTCCCTCACCTTCAGTCTCGCTTTCCCTCGATCTCACCTCCCTCAGTTTTGCACTCTCGATCTCACCTCCCTCAGTCTCGCACTCTCTCATTCCTCAATCTGCGTTCCTCTTCTTCTTCTCTGTGCCTCTTATTTGAACAGATTATCTGAAATCTTCATTGAAGACAATCGGTAAGAGACTCTAAACTCTCTGTGCCTTTTGATTGAAGAGTTTTTTGCCCTTTCTTTTGGCTGATTGCTGAACTTGGTTTTCTTAATTTTGATTGCCTAATTCGAGGTTTGTTTCCTTCCTTTCGGACCTCGTTTTGCTTTCTTTTTTCTGATTTCTGAATTGGTTTTCTTTTGTCTGATTCGGGGTTCTTTCTGAATTGGTTTTCTGATTTCTTTTTGCTTTTGTATGAATGTTTACAGGGCTGTTCTTTTTTTTCTGATTGATTATTGATTATATTAATTATGTGTTTGTGCCATATTGATTATATTACACCATATTGATTATATTGATTACAAATCAAATAAGGTTTCTGTTTTTGTTTCTGAAATCTTGTTTTTGTTTACAAATCATATTGATTATATTGATTACAAATCAACTTCTTTTTGTTTTTGTTTGTGCCAAATTGACTCTCGTTTGATGTTGGTACTCGTTTTTGATAATATTGAGCTTTAATAATATGGTACTCATTTATTGTTTCCAAAATCTTGACTCTCGTTTGATGTTGGTTTCTGGTTTTTTGTTTCCAACTGAGGAAGAAGAATGAAGACTGAAGAGGCATTTTCAGTCTATAGTCTATACCTGAAAAAGGTTAAGAAGAAGGCAAGGCTGAAACAGAAAGGTAGTTTTTTTGTTTTTTGTTTTTTATTTTTTGTTTGTTTTGTGATAACTGAGAACTAAGAAATATTATGTTTTCATGATAACTAAGATAAACTAATTTTAGGTTAATCTCTACGCTTAGTGTCAATCATATGTTATCTGTTCTTTAGGTTAATTTGTGTGCTAGATGGAAAAAATTATCATCCACCCGACACAAACTTCTGAAAGCACTTGTAAGACTAAAAATCCAACATCCGTCTATATGCCTAAAGAACCCATTATCTTGCCTACTCCCACACCCAGCCTTGCCCATGTACATTGGGCACTAAAATTGAAAACGAAAAATAGGAGGGAGACAATAAAAAAAAGGAAGAAGTCACAAAAAAGTCTCTTGTTTGGGATCATTTCAAAATCATATAGGGTGAGGATCCAGATGAGCCTAGGTGTAAGTGTATCCATTGTGGGGCAACATCTTCATGTGATAGTAGGAGACATGGCACCAGTAGTATGAAGGTTCACATAGAAAAGCAATGTAAGAAATACCCATATAGGATCCACGACAAAAAGTAAAAAAATTTGAGTTTCCAAACCAACACTGAAACTGGCAGTAATCTTGTTGCTATAGGTTTTAACAAGGAGCATTATAGAAAAGCGTTAGCAAAAATGGTGATTGTAGATGAGCCTTCATTTAGGTTTGTTGAAGGTGAAAGATTTAAGAATTTTTGTCAAGTGACGCAGCCTAGATTCTCTATCCCCTCCCGTGTTACGATTGCCAAGGACATTTACCAACTTTTTTTGGAAGAGAGGAAGAAACTGAGGGCTGAATTTAGTAAGGGCAGCCAAAGGATTTGCCTAACAACTTATTGTTAGACATCCTTGTAAAATATTAATTATTTGTGTCTAACTGCACATTACGTTGATAGTGAGTGGACTTTACAAAAAAAGATTATAAACTTTTGTCAAATTTCAAGCCACAAAGGAGAGAGTGTTGGTAAAGTCATTGAGTCATGTTTGCATGCTTGGGGTATTGAGAGAGTCTTCACTATGACTGTTGATAATGCCTCCTCAAATGACTCTATGATTACCTACTTGAGAAGGAAGATTAAGGGGTGGAAAGAGGATGTTTTAGGTGGGGAATTTCTGCATGTTAGGTGTTGTGCCCATATAGTGAACTTGATTGTCAATGAAGGTTTAAAAGACCTACATAATTCCATAGCTACCATTCGTAACGCTGTGAGGCATGTGAGGTTTTCTCCGGTTAGGTTGTTGAAATTCAAGTCATGTGTGGAGCGAGAGAAAATTGAATACAAAGGTCTCGTAGTCCTAGATGTCCCTACTAGATGGAACTCCACCTATATGTGTTAGATGCATCCATTAAGTTTCAAAAGGCTTTTGAAATATATGAAAAGAAATATGCCAAGTTCGTGTATTATTTTCAGAAAGGGAACGGGGGGAAACGGAAGATTGGCCCGCCACTTGATGATGATTGAGAGAATGTTAAGGTGTTTGTGAAATTTCTGAAGATTTTTTTATGATATAACTTTGAAGTTTAGTGCCACTTTGAATGTCACTTTAAATTCTTACTTTCATGAGCTTTGTGAGATGTAAAACCAGCTATCTGAATTAAGCAAACAAGAGGATTCAATGCTTTCATCTATGGTTGTGAGTATGAAAAAGAAGTATGACAAGTATTGGGGGAATGTTGAGAATATAAATTGTCTTCTCTTTGTGGCTATTGTACTTGATCCTAGGTACAAAATGGATTATTTGACATATTGTTTCTCTATAATGTATGGTTCTTACACTTTTGAAACATTAGCAAAGAATGTGAAGGATATTATGTACCGGCTGCATGAGGTTTATAGTAGGGACAAAGGTGAATCTGTGGCTAATGAATCTGGTGGGGAGGCGGCAACAACAAGTACAGAGGCAAAAATGAACGCAGACGGAAAAGGGTGTTTGTGGAGCTCCTTTGCTAGGAAAATGAAGGAGAATAATGTGAATGAGTACAAAAATGATGTGTGGACAGATACTTGACAGACCCTATGGATGATCTAACTCAGTCAAATTTTGATGTTTTAGATTGGTGGAAGAATAATGCAACCAATTACAAGGTTCTCTCACTAGCTGCAAGAGACATTCTTGTCATTCCTATTTCAACGGTAGCCTCAGAATATGGTTTTAGTACCGGAGGCCACATCCTCAATCCCTTTAGGAGTTCATTGAGCCCCAAGATGGTGGAGGCATTGATTTATACACAAAATTTACTGCGTAGTCGTGAGCACATCAACCTTATTGACATTGAAGAGTTTAATGAACATGAAGATATTGAGTCGGGTAATGTTTTTACGTTTTACTTGTTCTTTTTTAACTTTATTTCATCTCGTTGTTGTTTATTTTGTTGTCCTAAACCTGATTCTAATGATTTTTTTGTTATGTTTTCTTCTTAAGATTTGTCAAATTCTGTTGCAACACATGAGGGTCAAGCTGGGAATGAAGGTGCTATTATTCTGGATTAAACTGTTTGGAGTTAACTAAATTTCTTATTTTGCTGGACTATATGGACTGTTTATTTGACGTATTGTCAATTTTATTTCTGGACTTTATTGACTGTTAAGAAGTATGTTTGATGTTATGTTAATGTTTATGAACTGTTTATGGACTTTATGCTTTTGGACTGTTAAAAAATGATATTTTAGACTCATAATTAACTTATTTATCTTTTAGGTATTCACAGTTTGTGTAAAAAATGACGTTTCATCAATTTTCTAAAGTTATTGAGGTGGGAATTTCTTTTTATATGCTTGTATGTCATAATTGTTGAATTAGGATATTCTTTATTTATATTGCTTTTTATATGCATAAAGAGGGTAAATATGTGGATGGTGGATTTGTGTAATTGTTAATTAGACACCTTATAATTGGCTTTGTGATTTTACCTCTGTCTCGCTAAAAAGATCTTATTTTTCTTATTTCTCTTACAACTTTTTTTCTCTTCAAAATACTGAATTTATCATTTTTTGGAAGTTTTTGATTTCAAAGTGTGTGTTTTAATTGTTCACCTTGCATTTAGACCCCCTCTTAAAAGAAAGACATGTTCTGTTTGATAATGATTCCTTCCATAACAAGCACAAATTAATTGATTAAAAAGTAATCATGTAGTCCTTGAGATCACCCTTGCTTTATGCATATTGTGATAATTGAAAAAGTTTCCAAGCCTGTCAATCCGAGTAATCCAAGTAACCTGAGCCTACTCGAGGTCACCTGATAGATTACGAGTTTGTGGGCTTATGAGGGTGTTGCGGCTCAAAGTTTTCTCAACCTGCATAGTACGGCTCGGCCTAATTTTTCGGCCCAACCCGAGCCTATCCGGCCGAATTACACCCATACTTCTACTAGACTTTAAAGAGAATGCCAGTTTAAAAAAAAAAAAAACTAAACCCCTAAAATTTAACATATATGTATCAAACACTAACAAATTTGTCAAAAAAAAAAAAAAAAACACTCAACATAAATATACACGTTTGTGGCTCTAACTAGTCATATAAAAACATCACGCTAAAAAAAAAAAACGTCATTTCATATTTAAACTTAAAAATGAAAAAAAAAAAAAAAGTATGTGGATTCATATCAATTATTAAAAAAAAAAAAAAAAAAAAAAAACCTAACGTCATGTCGCATATGCCCTTCAAGAACGGCAATACAGTCCTAGAGCCCAGAATAAGCACCCAATCGGAAAATGGAGGAGGAAGAAGAAAATCCACCCCTCGCAGTACAAATCGACCAATCCACTAAACCATATTCAAACGACGCACGACCCACAAACGACGACGTATCCGTCGGGGTAACCGTCATCACGGGCTATCTCGGCGCCGGAAAATCAACTGTAAGCTTTATCCCCATTAGCCCTTTCTTAAGTGTTATGTTTATTTCATACATATTTATTTTTCTGTGCGGATTCTGTTCTGGGTTTTGTAATTCTCAGCTGGTGAATTACATACTGAATTCCCAGCATGGGAAAAGGATTGCGGTGATATTGAACGAGTTTGGAGAGGAAATTGGAGTGGAGAGAGCGATGATTAATGAAGGAGATGGTGGGGCCCTTGTTGAAGAGTGGGTTGAGCTAGATAATGGCTGTATTTGTTGCACTGTTAAGCATAGTTTGGTTCAAGCATTGGAGCAACTTGTTCAGAGGAAGGAAAGGTAATAAAAGCTTTAAAAAACTCATAAGTTTTTTCTTTCCTTTTTTTTTTTTTTTAAATGACACTAGCTTCCCTTGACTTGTATCGAAATTAGAGTTACACCCACTTGACCGAACTTAGTTATAGTATTTTTGGACTGTAATGATGTGATCATAGCTTTGTTATGTTGCAGACTTGATCATATATTACTGGAGACTACTGGGTTAGCAAACCCGGCTCCTCTTGCATCTGTTCTATGGTTGGATGATCAGCTTGAGTCGGCAGTTAAGCTTGATTCAATTATCACTGTGAGTAGTTCTAGTATATAATCGTTGATTTGAGTTGTATTTCTGTTTAATGTGATCATTGATATATGGTGTCACTATATGTCAAATTTTGTTTAGTATGTCGATGTTGTGCCTTTGTTTACAGCAGTCACATGTTTCTCTGCTAGGAAATGTAATCCTTCTAGTTCATTATAACGGTCATGTCTTGCAACTGAACTTTCTTCATATCTATCTCTTCTTGTTAATGGTACAGGTTGTCGATGCTAAAAACCTCAGGTTTCAGCTGAACGAGCAACGTAGTTCATCTTCATTTCCCGAAGCATATTCTCAAATTGCCTTTGCGGTAATCACTAAATGCCCGACTGTTTGATCATACTTGCAACTTTAAATATTCCTTTAGTAGTTCCTATTTGCACTTTTACACTTTAAAGTCAGTATATCTTTTTCCCTTAGGTGTTTTGTTGTTATGTCAATGATACATATGTATGCTGCTTGTTCTGGGGCCTTATTAGTTTTCTTTTCTGTGTAGGATGTTGTAATTCTTAACAAAGTTGATTTGGTTTCTCCAGAGGGCTCTGGGGGTTCTTTGGACGAACTGGAGAAGGAGATACACAACATTAACGCGCTTGCTAGTATTATTCCTACTGTTCGTTGTCAAGTTGATCTGTCCGAGATATTGGACTGCCGGGCCTATGATGCTACAGTTAGTAGTTATATCTTGATTATTAACCAGAGTTTCCTCTTCTGTTCATACTAAGCTTAATTAACGAATATTGACCAATTTTCGTTCACAGCACATCACTCGATTAGAAGCACTATTGGACGAAAGTAATGCAATATCGACCCAAAATCTTCATGATAGACGTGTGAGAACATTGTGCATTTCTCATGAGGGGGAAGTTGATCTTGATAAGGTAATCTTTTAAGATTGCTAAGACCTATAACTTTAGATGACTTAAAATTTGTTATCATTATTATATATATATATATATATATTGCTAAAGATACAGTTTGTTATTGGATTTAATTTAAAGCTTCTCAAAATGGTCTGATTGCTTTAACCTTCACCATTATTCTTTATGCTGTTATACCAATGCTGCATGGTCAGACAACCAATGCACAATTATACGACTTGGAAATGTGGTTAGACAGAAAGTGAGACAAGCTAGCAAAGACTCACATTACTGTCCCCATGCACTCGGATGTGAATTTGTTATTTTAAAGAATCACATTTTCAATAGAAAGGCATTTAACTTGTAACTTATGTTAAAATTAGAGGCTAGATTTTGGTTAGTAAACAGGCTTTATTTTAGATCACATGCATGAATTCTAGTCCCTTTGCTGAAGCTGTTTTATGTTGCAAGACATTTTAGTTTCTTATCTTATAGTTTCCATATTACGCTTTCCCTTGGCCGTATGAATCTTTTGCATATTCGTAGTTATTTGCATGCATGAGCCAAAAATAAACCATAAAGCGTATTCAAACTTCTGTTTAAGAAGTAAAAACTCCTGGGAAATTGTATACTATTATCTACATATAATCTCTCTCTTTTCTAAGCACAAATTTGAATATTGAATGATTTCTTGTTACAAGGTTCGTATATGGCTTGAAGAGATTCTTTGGGATAAGAAATATGACATGGATGTATATCGCTGCAAAGGGGTTTTGAGTGTCCAAAACTGCAATCAACTACACACTTTGCAGGTAAATGATACATATTCAATAGCACCAACTGTTTTCCCTTAGAATTTCAACTGAATATTGTTCCATAAGATCTAAGATTACAAGTCTTTTGGTGGGCTGTCTCTGTTGTGCCATAATTATTGTCCTGTGTTAACTATCTTACTTTACTGACTGCCTTTTGGAAAATATGTCGCTGAGTAAAAGCGATCACACTTGAGCTAGGCCTACTTAAAAGAATGCCAATGTTATTAATTTAATTGTCAAGGCCATGTTTCTTCACCTACAGGCTATATTTTCAATTATCATGTGTCAATGCAAAGAGTCTTATTTGAAGTTTAGAATTCCATCTTAAATCCTTTCGTCTTTTCTTTTCTTTTTTCTTTTCTTATGTGTATTCGTATATACATAGTGTGTTAAATGATGAATTTTTTATTGGCAATTTCACAGGCCGTAAAGGAGATCTATGACATTGTTCCAGCTCGTGATTGGAAAGAGAGAGAAACTCGGATGAACAAGATAGTTTTTATTGGTAATCCTCAGCTTAAGCAAAGTTTTATATGATGGAGCTCGTTACATGGTTTATTTATTTGTTTCTTATTGCTTTTCATTTGTGCAGGTCATAATTTAGATGAAAATATCCTGGCTGATTCTTTCAGAGATTTTGCAACTTGTTAATCCTTGCACCTTATGGAGTCCAGTTTAACCATCTTTTTTTTTTAAATTTTTTATTTGGCGTAAGAAGGTTTTCAAGAAGCTGTTTGTGGTTACTTTCGTTATGAAAAGGACAGATTTTGAGACATATAGGTGGTCGGACTTACCAACAATCTGTACGTAGTTTATTACTTTTCGTTTATGTAAAGGACAGATTTTGAGACATATAGGTAGTTGGACTTATCAGCAATCTGTACGTAGTTTATTACTTTTCGTTTATGTAAAGGACAGATTTTGAGACATATAGGTAGTTGGACTTATCAACAATCTGTACGTAGTTTATTACTTTTCGTTTATGTAAAGGACAGATTTTGAGACATATAGGTAGTTGGACTTATCAACAATCTGTACGTAGTTTATTACTTTTCGTTTATGTAAAGGACAGATTTTGAGACATATAGGTAGTTGGACTTATCAACAATCTGTACGTAGTTTATTACTTTTCGTTTATGTAAAGGACAGATTTTGAGACATATAGGTAGTTGGACTTATCAACAATCTGTACGTAGTTTATTACTTTTCGTTTATGTAAAGGACAGATTTTGAGACATATAGGTAGTTGGACTTATCAACAATCTGTACGTAGTTTATTACTTTTCGTTTATGTAAAGGACAGATTTTGAGACATATAGGTAGTTGGACTTATCAACAATCTGTACGTAGTTTATTACTTTTCGTTTATGTAAAGGACAGATTTTGAGACATATAGGTAGTTGGACTTATCAACAATCTGTACGTAGTTTATTACTTTTCGTTTATGTAAAGGACAGATTTTGAGACATATAGGTAGTTGGACTTATCAACAATCTGTACGTAGTTTATTACTTTTCGTTTATGTAAAGGACAGATTTTGAGACATATAGGTAGTTGGACTTATCAACAATCTGTACGTAGTTTATTACTTTTCGTTTATGTAAAGGACAGATTTTGAGACATATAGGTAGTTGGACTTATCAACAATCTGTACGTAGTTTATTACTTTTCGTTTATGTAAAGGACAGATTTTGAGACATATAGGTAGTTGGACTTATCAACAATCTGTACGTAGTTTATTACTTTTCGTTTATGTAAAGGACAGATTTTGAGACATATAGGTAGTTGGACTTATCAACAATCTGTACGTAGTTTATTACTTTTCGTTTATGTAAAGGACAGATTTTGAGACATATAGGTAGTTGGACTTATCAACAATCTGTACGTAGTTTATTACTTTTCGTTTATGTAAAGGACAGATTTTGAGACATATAGGTAGTTGGACTTATCAACAATCTGTACGTAGTTTATTACTTTTCGTTTATGTAAAGGACAGATTTTGAGACATATAGGTAGTTGGACTTATCAACAATCTGTACGTAGTTTATTACTTTTCGTTTATGTAAAGGACAGATTTTGAGACATATAGGTAGTTGGACTTATCAACAATCTGTACGTAGTTTATTACTTTTCGTTTATGTAAAGGACAGATTTTGAGACATATAGGTAGTTGGACTTATCAACAATCTGTACGTAGTTTATTACTTTTCGTTTATGTAAAGGACAGATTTTGAGACATATAGGTAGTTGGACTTATCAACAATCTGTACGTAGTTTATTACTTTTCGTTTATGTAAAGGACAGATTTTGAGACATATAGGTAGTTGGACTTATCAACAATCTGTACGTAGTTTATTACTTTTCGTTTATGTAAAGGACAGATTTTGAGACATATAGGTAGTTGGACTTATCAACAATCTGTACGTAGTTTATTACTTTTCGTTTATGTAAAGGACAGATTTTGAGACATATAGGTAGTTGGACTTATCAACAATCTGTACGTAGTTTATTACTTTTCGTTTATGTAAAGGACAGATTTTGAGACATATAGGTAGTTGGACTTATCAACAATCTGTACGTAGTTTATTACTTTTCGTTTATGTAAAGGACAGATTTTGAGACATATAGGTAGTTGGACTTATCAACAATCTGTACGTAGTTTATTACTTTTCGTTTATGTAAAGGACAGATTTTGAGACATATAGGTAGTTGGACTTATCAACAATCTGTACGTAGTTTATTACTTTTCGTTTATGTAAAGGACAGATTTTGAGACATATAGGTAGTTGGACTTATCAACAATCTGTACGTAGTTTATTACTTTTCGTTTATGTAAAGGACAGATTTTGAGACATATAGGTAGTTGGACTTATCAACAATCTGTACGTAGTTTATTACTTTTCGTTTATGTAAAGGACAGATTTTGAGACATATAGGTAGTTGGACTTATCAACAATCTGTACGTAGTTTATTACTTTTCGTTTATGTAAAGGACAGATTTTGAGACATATAGGTAGTTGGACTTATCAACAATCTGTACGTAGTTTATTACTTTTCGTTTATGTAAAGGACAGATTTTGAGACATATAGGTAGTTGGACTTATCAACAATCTGTACGTAGTTTATTACTTTTCGTTTATGTAAAGGACAGATTTTGAGACATATAGGTAGTTGGACTTATCAACAATCTGTACGTAGTTTATTACTTTTCGTTTATGTAAAGGACAGATTTTGAGACATATAGGTAGTTGGACTTATCAACAATCTGTACGTAGTTTATTACTTTTCGTTTATGTAAAGGACAGATTTTGAGACATATAGGTAGTTGGACTTATCAACAATCTGTACGTAGTTTATTACTTTTCGTTTATGTAAAGGACAGATTTTGAGACATATAGGTAGTTGGACTTATCAACAATCTGTACGTAGTTTAATAAAAGTTTTAAAAATTCTAAAAAAAAATCCAATCTAAAAAATACTTCAATTATTTTAAGAGTTTTTCTATTGTAAAATTGGTTTTATTAACATTTTGATCTAAGAAAGTGTTAAATTGTATTTAATAAAGATTGAGAAGGATAATCTTAGTATTTAAAACAATTAATTACTTCAGCAGGTGTTTTAGGTCTGCCTGTATAAATACGGGGATGCTTTAAGTACTTGCATAATAAGAGAGGCGAAAGTAGTATTTTGATAAAATATAAGAGTATTTTAGGTATTATCTCAATTTTAGAATATCTCCACTAAATCTAATCTAAATAATTTCTTTGCGTGTTGGTTTTTTTCAATTTATTCCTTAATGCCTTTTATTGTACTAATTGAATTATTTTTTTCTTAAATTACTCTAGTTAAACCCTTTTTTTCAAAATTTTAATTTGCATATCAAAAAATTAATAAATTGATCTATATTCATGTGTTTAAAATGTGATGCTATGTTAATTAGTAGGAATTGATATTATTAACGTTTATAAATTTTGTACATTTGTAGTCTATGCATCCTGAAATAAAATCATGACTTCGTTACTGATTGTTAATATATATATATATATGTGCATCTAATATATAATAAAATATGTTAAAGTAAGCAGATATCGACCAATTTTTTTCCTTTGTGTGCCCTACATTTTTTTTACTTTTTACTTACTTGTTATCTACTCACTTTTTATATTTTTATGTACTTATTTATTATCTACTCTTTTCTCTTACTTAGACCTTAAGAAAAAGTAGTCAAATTAAATAATGTTTGTATTACATATTAAAAGTAGCTTCCAAACTCACGAGGCTCGCCCTGTCAAAATATGCGGTTTATATGTTAAGAAAAATAATGTTATGTGAGATTTTATTAGTGCATCTACTATTTTCTCTTACATAGGGCATAAGAAAAAGGGGTCAAATTAAAAATAATTTATGTATTACTTGATAAAATGATCATTTTATCATTTTATTTACACTAAAACCTCACGTAGTACCACTACTGACTATAAATTTTAAAATTATTAGTTTGTATCGAATTTCTGTTTCAAATGTAGATGTATTAGAACATTGTCATGCATACAATTACCTTTTTTGTGCTATGTTCTTCAAATAACAAATAAAATATTCACTGTTATTTATAGTGTTAAAATTATTATATTATTTATTTGTAACTCTCTATATCTTTTAAGCTATAAATAAGAGTATAACAATTAATTAGAACTTATTTATCTACATCATAAAATTATCATTCAATAGACAATAAATATCATAGTCAAATTTATACCTATTGATATATGCATGTACATCGCATGTGTCAATTTTTATTTACTTATTATTCACTCTTTTCTCTTTTCTGGTATGAATTGTTACTTTTGTGTCAACTTATCCCCAAACACAATTTGATTGGGACTATTGGACTAAAATAACATGTCGTCTACCCAAAATCTTCATGATAGTGGTGTGCACACGTTATGCATTTCTCAGCAGGCAAGTTGATCTTGATAAGGTAGTCTTTTGAGATTGCTAAGTTGTATAATTTTAGACGACTTACAAGTTAAACAAATTGGATCTTCTCTATAGCTTCTTGAAAAGGTCAGAGCCAGAAAACCAATTCACAATTTTATGACCAATTCAAAATGTAGTTAGAGAGAAAGTGAAACGAGTTAAAAGAATCATATTACAGATCTCATGCACTTTGGATGTGAATTTGTTAGGTTAGAAGAATCGCATTTTCATTTATAAACAAAAAAAAAAAAAAGAAACACATTCACAATAGAAAGCCCTTTAACTTGTTACTTTTATTAAAATTGGAGGCTAGATTTTGGTTAATGAACATGCTTTATTTTAAATTTCGTGCTTAAATTCTAATTCCCTTTGCTCAGTTGTTTGATGTTGCACACAACATTTGGTTTCTTATGTTATAGCTTCCACGTTACATTTCCCCTTTACCGTATAAATCTTTTGCAGATTCTAGCTTATCTGCAAGCATGCCAAAAATTAACCGTAAAGTGTATTTAATTTACTATTTAAGAAAAAGTAAACACTACTGAAAAATTGTATATTATCTACGTATAATGTTGGTTCTCTAAGCATATCTATAAATGACATGTTTTGATGAATTAAATACTGTTGAGAAATTGTTTGTTATTATCTATGTATAATCTCTCTTTTCTAAGCATAAATATCTATATAATGGCATGTTTTAAATGAATTATATCCCTCATCAAAAGGTTTGTATGTGACTTGAGTAGATTCTTTCGCATAAGAAATATGACATGGATATAATCTCTCTTGTTCATTTGCAAGTGTTTTTGAGTTAAGTTTTTGAGTTGAGTTTGAGTTGAATTTGAGTTATAACTTGAGTTTAAGTTGTAACTTGAGTTTACGTTTGGTTGTGTA